TGCCCAGGCGGGTCTCGAACCCGTGGGCTCAGGCAATCCGCTCACCTCAGCCTCCCAAAGGTGCGGAATTACAGGCTGAGCCACCGAGCCCGGCTAGGTGACAGTTTCTATTGATTGTTTTCATGTGTGTGGATGGACCATACTTTCTTGATTTTGTTTGTACATCTTATAATTTTTTTATTGCATATTCGACATTTTAAGTAATTTAAGGTAGCAATTCTAGATATTAGGTTTTTTCTTTTCCTTAGGATTTGTTTTTTACTTAGTGACTATTCTGAATTAATTTTGTAAAGTCTATGTTCTTTGTCATATGTGACTTATGAAGTTTCTGCTTGGTTAGCTTAATGGTCAGCTAATGGTTGGACAGAGAATTCCATAAATGCTTGGAACTGGTACGCTTCCCAATCTTTGCTATGGGACATGCCTTGCTTTATCCTGCTTGAGTCCTTGCTGAAGCTTAGCCTGACTACTGAGCTTCTTTTTGTAAGTACAGGCCATTCAGTGCTTTCTACTTGTCTGCTTCTCTTCTTTCCTGTCCATACAACTAGGATCACTTGGATACAAGGGACTCTGAGTTGTGCTGTGTTCATCGTTTGAGATGCCACAGTCATTCTTGGGTCTTGGATATCTAGCATGTGTCCAGATTGCTTGTGGTGATTTATTTTGGTCAGCCTTGGTGGACTTCAGATAGATGCTCGATGACCTGAATGCTGCATGGAGAGAATAGCCATAGAACATCTGGAGCATTTATTAACCTAGGTGGTGGGTATGCTGAGGGAAGTCCCATGGGTGTCATAGGAACATTTTGGCCACATCAGCCCCTAGGTACTCCCATGAGTGAGCAGGGGTCATTGTGCCCACCTGGCTGGGGTTGTGACTTGCTGAGGCTCATGGGGAGTCAGTGTGGAGATTAATACCAGGGGTGAAAGTCTCTTTTTATTTTCTTCTGTACTCTCAGAATCCATGGGCATGAACTTCTGGGCAGTATGACAGGTGCTTGGTTCTTCTGATTTATCTCACGTCTGCTGAAATGATCAAAGCAGAACAGTTGTGTCTACAACTAAGAATTAGAGAATCTCAATCCTCCAGGAGATATGAGCTTTCCCTCCATTTTTATGATACTGATTTTGAAGGAACACCTTTTTTCTTCCTTCCTCCTCCCTCCTTTTCTTTTGGTTTTTGTTTTTGAGATGAGGTCTCACTCCGTTGCCCAGGAGAAGTGCAGAGACACACTCAGGCTACCACAACCTCAATCTGCTGGGCTCAGGTGATCCTTCCACTTCAGCCTTCCAAGTAGCTGGAATTACAGGCACATGCCACCATGCCTGGCTAATTTTTTTTTTTTTTTGAGTTAGAGTCTCATTCTATCGCCCAGGCTGGAGTGCAGTGGTACATTCACAGTCACCCCAGCGTCGACCTGCTGGGCTCTGGCAATCCTTCTGCCTCAGCCTACCACACCTGGCTAATTTTTTATTTATCGTAGAGATGAAGTCTTGCCAAGTTGCCTGGGCTGGTCTTGAACCCCCGGGCTCAGGCAATCCGCCCGCCTCGGCCTCCCAAAGTGCTGGGATTATAGGCCGAGCCATTGCGCCTGGCCTAATTTTTAAATTTATCTTAGAGACAAAATCTTACCAGTTGTCCAGGCTGGTCTCGAATGTGTCGGCTCAGGCAATTCTCTTGCCTCACCTCCCAAAGTGTTGGGATTACAGGCATGAGCCACTGTACCCAGTTAGACTTTTATTCCTGTGTTCTTTTCAATTCTTCCTCCCTGTGCCTCTATTTACTGGTTCCAGTTTTATCCTTGGACATTTCCTGGGAGCCTTTCACTTCCTGCCCTTTGTTTAGGGATGATGTGGGAAGTTCTTTGAGGGGGATGGACTTTGTCTGAGACTGTCATGCAAGGAAAGTGTTCAGGTGGCCATATCCTGGGTGATCATCTTCTCTCTGGCTTTCTGAGTGGCTCATTTATTATAGGCCCCAAGCATCTGAAAGGTCTCTGGGAGGAGTTGAGGGTAGCTCACTCAGGCTCCTGCTTACCATGCTTGAGTGGAGAGGATAGCACTATATGTCCCAGAAGCCATGATATATTGTTGGTAATTGGGTAACTGACCATGTGGTCTCCATTAGATGTGTGATGAAGGTCTTGTCCTCCTGCCCAGGGCCTACATGTTCAGGACTGACAAATGTCCTCTGATTCCTCTGCAGGAGCTGATTGACCTCAAGATGATTCAGTGCAAGAGAGTTGTCAATGGTGAGTGTAGTTCTGGGCCCAGAACTGTGTGTGTGCCCTGCTGGGCTCAAGTAGCACTGCTACTGCTCTTGTCTAGGGTGACAATGTCCTGACTGGCTATAGTGTGTAATTTTGTGGATCACATACTCCCTTGAGAACAGTCACCATGATCTCCAGAGGCCATGACAAAACGCCAGATGTGAAACAGGCTAACAACATTTTCTACCCACAGATTTGCTAGCATAGAAATTGCCAGGTGTCATAGTATAGGAGATACCCTAGAAGCTTTAGGATAGCTTCAACACTGTACCTAGCTCAGCCACTCACTACATGTGCAACCTTGGACAAGTCACATGACCTCGCTCTGCCTCCGTTCCTTTAGCTGAAAAATGAAGTCAATCCTTGCTTTACTTAGTTTGGGTACTTTGAGAGGCTGAGGCAGTAGGATCATTTGAGCCTAGGAGTTCAAGACCAGGCTGGGCAACACAGAGAGACTGTCTCTGCACAAATTTTAGAAATTAGCCAGGCATGGTGGCATGCACCTATAGTCCTAGCTACCTGGCTGAGGCAAGAGGTCACATGAACACAGGAATTTGAGGTTACAGTGAGCTATGATTGTGCCACTGCACTGCAACCTGGGCAACAAATCCAGACACTATATCTATAAATAAATAAATAATCCTTGCTTTACATAAATCATAGGGTTAGGATGAGGATCAAATAAGCTTTGTGCAAATAGGATTGTAATGAATTGTGGTTTTACTTATACTTTGTTGGTGAGGCTGATTCTGCTTTGATTAGAGCAGAATCAGAAAAACTGATTCTTCTTTTTTTTTTTTTTGAGTCAGAGTCTCACTCTGTCACCCAGGCTGGAGTGCAGTGGCACGCTCATAGCCACTGCAGCTTTGACTTGCTGGGCTCAGGTAATCCTTCCAAGTAGCTAGAACACAGTCATGCACCACCATGCCCAGCTAATTTTTTGATTTATTGTAGAGATGAGGTCTCACCGAGTACCCAGGCTGGTCTCGAACCCGTAGACTCAGACAGTATATCTCAGCCTCCCAAAGTTCTGGGATTATAGGTGTGAGCCACTGTGCCCGGCCTGAATCTTCTTTTTGATTAGAGTTGTGGTGTATTTCTTGAGGCCTTTGAAATATATATATATGTTTGTGAAATCTTACTATAATTTCACTAGAAGCCGGGTGTGTTGGCTCACACCCATAATCCCAGTACTTTGGGAGGCAGAGGTGAGAGTTCAAGACCAGCCCGGGCGACTCGATGAGACCTCATCTCTGTAATAGATTAAAAAATTAGCTAGGTGTGGTGGCACATGCCTGTGTTTCCAGCTACTTGGAAAGCGGAAGCAGAAGGATTACCTGAGCCCAGTAGGTAGAGGTTACTATGGCCATAAGAATGCTGCTACACTCCAGCCTGGGCAACAGAGTGTGACTCCAGCTCAAAATAAGAAAATAATAAAAATAATTTCATTAGTAGTTATGACTCAATTTTGTCTAATTGTTCTACATTTATTTTTTTGTGTGTTATTAAAAATTCAATATTATAGATCTATATAACTTAAAAAATGAAAATCGTTCATAATCTTATACCTAAAGAGATAATTAGAGATAAATAATATACATTTTTCTACATGTGTAGTAAGTAATGTATGTATATAAAAATGACATGTTTATTATATATATGCTCCACCCCATAGGATCATGCTACACATTATTTTGCCACTTAACTTTTCTAATAGGACATTTTCCCACGTCAGTTTCTGTGACTATGTCAGAATTGAATTCACAGTACTTTAACAGGGGTTCCCAATATTTTGTTGTTATAATAAAGCTGCATTATAAATACACTAAGGTTTTGTGGTTCTTCTCTCAGACTCCTTTCTGCCAGTCATGAGCTGCCTCTTCTGTTTAGTGCTGGGATGATAATAACAGCTTCCATTTGTGAAAGTGGTTTGTGTGCATGAAATATCTATTTACTTCTCAAAACAGCCTTTGAGGTAGGCATATTCTCCCATCTGCCACTCTGAATCTCTTTTACATAGTAGTCATCTTTGAAAGCTAATAATGGGCTGGGCATGGTGACTTACGCCTGCAATCACAGCTCTTTGGGAGGCAGAGGTAAGAGGATTGCCTGAGTTCAAGGGTTCAAGACCAGCATGGGTAACTTGGCGAGACCTTGTATCTACAATAAATAAAAAAATTAGCCAGTTATGGTGGTACGCGCCTGTGATTCCAGCTGCTTGGGAGGCTGAAGCAGAAGGATCCCCTGAGGCTAGCAGGTTGAGACTGCAATGGCCGTGAGTGTGCCACTGCACTCTAGCCTGGGTGACAGAGTGAGACTCTGACTCAAAAAAAAAGAAAGCTAATAATGGTAGTACCTACTGTGGAGCTTCTTTAGGAAGAACAGATGAGATATAGTTACTTCTTGTTATCTGCAATTGTTAAGTTCTATGAAGTTGCTGTAAATACTAAATTGGCAAATATTGACCCATTGACCCTGGGGGAAATTCAGAATTAGGCTCTTGTAAGACTGGTCACATTTTCATCAACTGATCAGTCCATAACCTTGTTTTATGTGTGTTTCTGTTTAAAGGCATGCTACTTAATGCATACCATTGATTCACTAACATTGAACTCATGGCTAGTAGTACTGAAGTTTAATGTCTAAATAAAGCTTGTCCAACACATATATTTTCTCCCTAAGGTATATTTTCTTGTGTTAGAAACTCTAGACAGCATTTTAGCACTTTGTGTGGGGTCTTTTAAACAGTGAGATCAAGAAAGAGCATAAAAATGCAAACAATATGGCACTAAATATAAAACAAAAAGGATACTTGTTGACTGTATAAGATCTGAAACAAGAAGGCAGGGTGTCACCTTGTTTGACCTTAGCTGGGAACATGCATATCTAGTGACTCAAATTTTTCACCACTTGGTGCCTGTCCATGAATGACCATGAAAATGCCACTAGTGTTGATTTTGTTGTCACAAATAAGTTTTGGCAAATAGGTGAATTTGCAAGTATGAAACTGTGACTAGTAATGGAGATCAACTATAATATAAGTAAACTTCCACTCACTCCCTGTTTCACTGTAGTGACGTAATAAAGAAATGGCAACTTTGCTGAACTTCAGAGTGACATCTGGGAGAATTTGGGCCAAAAGTGAAACACAGACAAGATTCCATGTATGTACATTTTGTTTCAACATTTTATTTTATTTTTTTGAATCAGAGTCTCACTCTGTCGCCCAGGCTGGAGTGCAGTGGCATGCTCATGGCCACCATAGCCTCGACCTACTGGGCTCAAGTGATTCTTCTGCCTCAGCCTTCCAAATAACTGGAGCTACAGATGTACGCCACCACACCTGGCAAATTTTGTGGATTTATTGTAGAGATGAGGTTTCACTATGTTGTTTATGCTGGTTTCGAATCCGTGGGTTCAGGCAATTTTCTCACCTCAGCTTCCCAAAGTGCTGGATTTTAGGCGTGAGTCACCACACCCAATTTCAACATTTTAAACATTGCATTCAGAAAACGTGCATAAAACACAAACTTAGTTTAACAAATAACTGTATGGTGAGCAGTTGTCTCCCAGGTCAGAAAATAGAAGCGTCAGCACCTCAGACGCCTCTCATGTGCATACGTATTTCTTTTAAGGAAGGTATAAGTCTAGGACCCCTTTTTCCCTTCCAGGCTATACTCTTGTTATGTTTTCTTCCAGAGCTTAGGCTAGGGTTGAACATATATCTTCCCTGAGTGGCCCTGTGTGTTTGTTTTCTTGCAGAGGTACTTCGCACGGTGGACTTTGTCGCCCCTGATGATCGAGTAGTTTTTCGCACCTGTGAAAGAGAACAGAACAGAGTGGTCTTCCAGATGGTAAGAGGCCTCATTGCTAAATGCCAGCCTGAGGTTCACTGTCTGTTGGGATTCCCTGACTCATGCCCGGTGCTAGACCAATATTGAATGCCCAGGCTTTCACAACAGTGGCTTCCTGAACATTCTGCTTTAATATTTTCTTTTTTTTTTGAGTTGGAGTCTCACTCTATTGCCCAGACTGGAGTGCAGTGGCCGCTCCCGGCCACCACAGCCTCGACCCGCTGGGCTCCGGAGATCCTTCCAAATAGCTGGAATTACAGGCGCGCGCTACCATGCCCGGCTCATTTTTGACTTATTGTAGAGATGAGGTCTCGCCAAATTGTCCAGGCGGGTCTCGAACCCGTGGGCTCAGGCAGTCCACTCACCTCAGCCTCCCAAAGGTACGGGATTACAGGCTGAGCCACCGAGCCCGGCTTGCTTTAATATTTTCAAAGATTCACTCATGAATGATTATTCTATTGATGATAGTTTATGGAAGCTGTCACTGTCTGTTATATGACTCTGATCTCAAATTTAGTTTACTTAATTATAGGAATTATCTATTTGGCATTGTATTTTTTAATACCTAGTGTTGGTTTTTTTAATACCTAGCATTGATTACTTTTGTTTGTTTGTTTGTTTGTTTTGTTTTTGTTTTTTGTTTTGTTTTATTTTTTGAGTTGGAGAGTCACTCTGTCGCCCAGACTGGAGTGCAGCGGCTGCTCCCGGCCACCACAGCCTCGACCTGCTGGGCTCCAGCGATCCTTCCTCCTCAGCCTTCCAAGTAGCTGGAACTACAGGCGTGCACTACCACGCCCAGCTAATTTTTTGATTTATTGTAGAGATGAGGTCTCGCTGCCCAGGCGGGTCTCGAACCCGCGGGCTTAGGCAATTCACTCACCTCAGCCTCCCAAAGGTGCGGGATTACAGGCTGAGCCACCGAGCCCGGCGATTACTTTTTTTAAATGTCATCTGTGTTTATTTCCCATAGAAAGAAGTTAGGTTTCCTCAAGAGTAGTCAAGATTTATGTTTAGCCAGGCATGGTGACTCACGTCTGTAATTCCAGTACTTTGGGAGATGGAGGCTAGAGGATTGCCTGAGCCCACGGGCTGGAGACCAGCCTAGGCAACATAGTGAGACCTCATCTCCACAGTAAATAAATAAATTAGGCCTAGTGTGGTGGCTCAGCCTGTAATCCCAGCACTTTGGGAGGCCGAGGTGAGAGGATTGCCTGAACCCGGGGGGTTGAGACCAGCCTGGACAACTTGGTGAAACCTCATCTCTACAATAAAAATCATAAAAACTAGCTGGGTGTGGTGGTGTGCATCTATAGTTCCAGCTACTTGGAAGGCTAATGCGAAAGGATTGCCTAAGCCCAGCAGGTCAAGGCTGTGGTGGCCATGAGCATGCCACTGCACTCTAGCCTGGGTGACAGTGTGAGACTCTAACTCAAAATAAATAAATAGGCCGGGCTTGGTGGCTCAGCCTGTAATCCCAGCACTTTGGGAGGCCAAAACGAGTGAATTGCCTGAGCCCACGGGTTCGAGACCAGCCCGGGGAACATGGTGAGACCTTGTCTCTACAATAAATCGAAAATTAGCCGAGTGTGGTAGCACGCACCTATAGTTCCAGCTACTTGGAAGGCTGAGGTGGAAGGATCACTGGAACCCAGCAAGTTGACGCTGGAGTGGCCATGAGTGTGCCACTGCACTCCAGCCTGGGCGACGAAGTGAGACTCCAACTCAAAAATTAAAAAAATAGGCCGGGTTCGGTGGCTCAGCCTGTAGTCCCGTGCTTTAGGAGGCCGAGGTGAGTGAATTGCCTGAGCCCGCGGGTTTGAGACCTGCCTGGAAAACTTGGCGAGACCTCATGTCTACAATAAATCAAAAAAATTAGCCGGGCGTGGTAGCGCATGCCTGTAGTTTCAGCTACTTGGAAGGTTGAGGCGGAAGGGTCGCTGGAACCCAGCAGGTCGAGGCTGTGGTGGCTAGGAGTGGCCACTGCACTCCAGTCTGAGTGACTGAATGAGACTCCAACTCAAAAAAAAAAAAATAAAATAAAATAAAATAAAAATATAAAATAAAAAATGCTCCTTTCCCCACTCAAAAAAAAAAAAAGATTTGTATTTGTGTTGTCTTGACTCTATAGCTCTCTCCTCTCACTTTAGGTGTGTCTTGGTGCTTTTTTAGAAGTAGCTCGTGAATTTTGTTTAGGATTTTTGCTAGCAATGGGTAGACATGTGATAAAGCAAATATAGCAAAATGTTAATTGTGAAATCTAAGTGGTAGTTATCTCAATGTTCACTATAACATTCTTCAACTTTTTTTTGAGTCAGAGTCTCACTGTGTCACCCAGGCTGGAGTGCACTGACACGCTCACGGTCACTACAGCCTTGACTTGCTGGGCTCAGATGATTCTTCCTCTTCAGCCTGCCAAGTAGCTGGAACTACAGGTGTGCACCACCACGCCCAGCTAATTTTTTGATTTATTGTAGAGACGTGGTCTTTCCACGTTACATAGACTGGTCTCGAGCCTGTGGGCTCAGGCAGTCCTCTCGATTCTGGCTCCCAAAGTGCTGGGATAAAATTCTTCAACTTTTTAATATGCTTGAATATAATCTCATTTAAAGCGATGACATTTTGTAGGCCCTCCAAGTCTACGTTTTTCTAGCAGTGATCTAGGCCAGTGGGCTGGCTGTTTAAGAGAAAGCTAGCCTGACCGTACTTGCTGATGTGTGTATGCATGTAATGTGCATAGGTGTATTTGTCTGTGCATGTGTACCTGTATCAGGGCAATGGTTGACACAGTCTCTTGTGTTTCCAGGGGACTTCCGACGCAGAGCGAGCCCTTGCTGTGGCCAGGCTTGTGTAAGTTCTTCCTCCTTTTGGACTGCCTTTGTCTCTCCTTGGAGGTGTAAGGCCTTAATGTCCTGGTGACTTTGGAAGTGACCCACCCTTCTGCTTCCTAGCCATTACCTTCTGCCTCCAGTTTAGATGTGTCTAGTTTCCTTCTCTGGCATTCGAGGACTGGCTTTGGACCCGTATGTACTCACAGTGCCCAGATCCCAGACACCCTCTGTATTGGAAGAGGGGGACTGTTTTTAGTGTTTGTTCATGAGACTGCCTTTCCAGGCACTCTCATGACTGTGAGCCCTGAGGCTTTAACTCTCATGAAGTATAGGTAAGACCCATTCCTTTCTGAATTATCAAAGGCAGGAGAGTAGTATGGTTAAAACAGTGACTTAGGTTGGAATTCTAGCTTTGCTATTTGTTAACTGTGTGACCTTAGGTGAGTTACTTAACTTCTTGGAGAACTTAGTTTACTCATTTATAAAATAGCTCTACTAACTTCCAGCATAGGAAGACTAAATGAAATAATGCATATAATTGTCTTTGCAGCATGTGGCATATAGTGCTTTGTAAGTGTTAGCTGTTTTTTTCTTCTTTTAAAGACACAGGGTTTTGCTCTATTTCTTAACCTGGAGTGCAGTGGCTTAATCATGGCTCACTGCAATCTTGAACTCCTGGGTTCAAGGATTCTCTCCTGCCTTAGCCTCCCAAGTTAGCTGGGACTACAGGCACGTGCCTGCATGTCTCGCTAATTTTTAAATTTTTTGTAGAGATGGAGTCTCGCTGTTGCTCAGGCTAGTCTTGAACACTCAACCTAGTTATTTTTATTAATTACAAAGAGAGTAAGAAGAAACTCAGGCAATAATTGCTGCTAATCACAGATTATTAACTGTGTACATACCAGAGGATGGAATGAAGGTCCTTTTTACATCTGGAAATTGTTTGGAGTCAGCTAACTGTGCAGCCCAGCTACCAGCAGAAGTGGTGTTCTGGGAAAGGACTCTTTTGCGCATGTCACTTTCTGGCATTGACAAATGGCTTTTAATAGCTTAGTCAAAGCTACAGCCCTGGGATTGAGTTCAATGTTCCCATCACTTGGTATTTGAATTATCTGATACAACTCCAAAATAGCACAGTCCTCTATATCTAACCCTTTATAGATGTGTGTGCACACATTATATCTTTCCTCTGGAGTTCTGCTCAGATGTGGTAGCTGCACATTTTAGGGACAGGTTTCTTTCTGGATTTTCAGCTTCTGTCATTGAGAGTTGGTATGTTTCGTAGGGCTAGAGACATGGTAAGTGATTCATGAGCACAGATCCATCCATCCCTCTATTTTCTTTCCTCAAGTTGAATATTTATTACCTTTTCTCCTTCATACTTTTTCAGAGAAAATGATGTAGCTGGTATTGACGTCAACATGGGTTGTCCAAAAGAATATTCCACCAAGGTAAACTGATTTCTTTATGCTCTTCACAAATACAGGATACAGATTAAAGAAGGTTAATAAGACAACTAAGTACAGTCCCTGACTCTGGGCTGAACTCTGTACTAGATGGGGAAAATACTCAGAAAGATATTATTAGATGAACTGGCAAAATCAGAGTAGGAACCATAGTAGGTTAGCTATAAATACTGGGGCAATGTAAATTTATGAAAAATTTGTGATTACTCTTCTGTAGTTATATAATAGAATATTCCTATTTCTAGAAAATGCATACTGAAATATTTCAGAGTAAAAGGCTATGATATATGTAGCTTATCTTCAAATGGTTTACGAAAAATTTTATACACATACCTACCATACACACATATATATATACATATACATGCACAAATTTTATATATGTATGTATGTATGTATGTAGAGAGAGAAATAGAAAACTCTCATGCTCAAGTAATAAGACAAATAATACAAATGTGAAAAGAAGAATAATGTGAACAGGGCTCTGTCTTTTCATAAATAAAACTGTCGCATACATTAAAGAAAATAGAGGATGTAATACAAATGTTCATATTGTCATATTAGAAGAAATCAGACCAGAGTACTATGATAGCCTAGAAAAAGAAGTGGAGAGGCAGCCCTGAAACTCGGTATTTTATAGGGAAATGTGGTCCTTGTGCAGAAATTTGGGACTCTGCAAGCGGAGTGAATGTCACAAGCAGGGGGCTGAAGACCAATATGAGGTAGACACAGAGAACTGAATAGCTTGATTTGACCAGATGGCTTAGGGAGTAGGAGATGAAGAGGAAGCAGAAGAGCACAGGATTGAAAACCTTGGTTGGGAGCAGATCAGCTCGACTGGATTTTTTGGTATCTTTGGATTTTTTTGAGCAGAGAAGTCATGATCAGAATTGTGCTTTAGGAATACTAATCTGGAAGCCACGTGTCTAGGGGATTAGAATGAGAAGAGGCTGGAAATAGGGACACAGAGGAAATGAATCCTAGGACCACAGGGGAGGCCAGAGATGGAGAGAAGAGAAGCCAAACTGGAAAAGAATCTGACAGGACTTGACTGGCAAATGATTGAACTGGACGTGGGATGGTGGGGTTGGGGAGAGGGTAGAGGGAAGAAAGACTGGTAGCCAGAAGGACAGTTGGTCTTGGCTACCAGTGATTGGGACTGCTGGAGGAAAAGTATGTTTGTGGCTGATAACAAGGGCAGCATGGGATTGGCTGAGTGTGAACTACCAGAGGGACTTCTGCAGGGCTGCTCCTGGGAACCTTATCACAGGATCAGGATCTGCAGTGTAGACATGGCAGATGTCTTCCTGGGCTCACTGTCCAGAGTCAGCCACTCTGTTTTCAGAAGTCACTCCGCCTGGGGACCTTTGCTTTAGGTCAGGAGGCAGGGCTGCCTGCCTGAGAGAAAAGCCCGAATGCTTGAAAACCAGAGGACCTTGTAGACGGCTGCTTCAATGAATTATGGAGGTGGGAAATTGTCTATGAGTTGAAAATTTTGAGTTCCGGTTTGCTTTCTTCTGATTACTTCTTTGTACTCCTGAGTTATGTAAGGAGCAAACTTAAAATGATTAGAATGGTCTCCCAGATACACTATGGAATGAAAAAAGCAAGGAGACCGGGTGTGGTGGTTCAAGTCTGTAATCCCAGCACTTTGGGAGGCGGAGGCGAGAGGATTGCTTGAGCCTGTGGATTCGCGACCAGTCTGGGTAACCAGGCAAGACCTTGACTCTACAATAAATTTTAAAAATTAGCCGGGCATGGTGGTGCACACCTGTAGTTCCAGCTACTTGGAAGGCTGAGGCTGAAGGATCACCTGAGCCCAGCAGGTCTATAAGCGTGTCACTGCACTCTAGCCTGAGTGACAGAGACTCCAACTCAAAAAAGAAAGAAAAGTCTTCTATTCCTCAGGAAGGGAGACTTCTTACTCTTTGCCCTCTTGAACTTCTTAAATTTTGAATGTCTTACCTACTCAAAAATGCAAATAAGTTAAATGGAAGGAAGAAAGGATAGACATACCATTGTTTAAAAAGCCATCATTGCATAAGGGGCAGTGAGACTGAATTTTAGGACTTGTGATTTTATGAGGAAGGGCTGGATATATGTGAGGGGAAGGACCGACAGAGCTGTAGCGGGAGGGGAGAGACAGGTGGTAGTAGTGGTGCCAGGGTTTCCTTAAGGCCTCCAGGGTTTCTTCTCTGGTGAAGGTAGTCCAGGGCTGGTGGATCCTCCAGCCTCCCCATTCACCTCTAAAATGCAGGCTTAGCGTGACTGAGTCTGTGGTGGGTTGATGTTCATTCTCATTCTGATCTGTCGTGTTTAAACATGAAATTAAACCTTGAACATGGAATTAAACTGCAATAACCAAACATAAACCTGAGCACATCCTGTGAGCATTCATCAGTATGTAGTCTTTATGCTGATGGTATATATTTATTGGATTTGTTTTTCTCCCTTTCACCTCACTCTTAATGAATTCAGATTTTTAAAGACTCCCCCACTATCCTCGATTATTAAAGTAATTCATGGCTGGGTGCAGTGGCTCACACCTGTAATCCCAGCTCTTTGTAGCACTTTAGGGAGGTGGAGGCGAGAGAATTGCCTGAGCCCAGGGGTTCGAGAACAGCCTGGGCAACTTGGCAAGACCTCGTCTCTACAATAAATCAAAAAATTAGCTGGGTGTGGTGATGTGAGCCTGTAGTTCCAGCTACTTGGAAGGCTGAGATGGAAGGATCGCCTGAGACCAGCAGGTCGAGGCTGTGGTGGCCTTGAGCATGCCACTGCACTCCTACTTGGGCAACAGAGTGAGATTCTGACTCAAAAACAAAACAAAACAAAAATAAAGTAATTTATACCATTGTCCAGTACTTTGAAAATTTAAGAAAAGTACAAAATTAATCAGGAAAATCACCAATAAGCCCATCAAGAGACAACCATTATTGTTATTTTCAAGATTTAAGTGGTTCCAAGGGTTGGTGCTTTCCATTTGCTGGGGTTTTTATTAGAGTTTGGTGTGGGTCTGGGTCCTCAGGACTGGGACATTTTTCAGGAGAAGGGCCTGAACAAAATTTGCAAGTTGTATGCCTCTGAGTGGCTTTGTTGGTATTGGGGGTACCTAAGCAAGTGTTGAGTGTGATAGGAAGAAGGTGCATTTGATCTGATCTTATTTCATTTCTTATTTTTATTTCTTTTTATTTTTTCAATCTAATTTCAAAGGAAGGGTGATTTATTGTTTTCTAAGGGCTTGGGTAATGGTAGTAGTTAGTTTATTAAGATACTGAGACCTTACTGGGTGCAGTGGCCCAAGCCTATAATACCAGCATTTTGGGAGGCCAAGGTGAGAGAATTGCCTGAGCCCAGGGGTTTGAGACCAGCCTGGGCAACTTGGCCTCGTTTCTACCGTAAATTAAAAAAAAAAATAAGCTGAGTATGGTAGTGTGCGCCTGTAGTTCCAGCTACTTGGAAGGAGGAGGCAGAAGGATTGCCTGAGCCTGGTAGGTCAGGGCTGCGGTGCCATGAGCGTGCCACTGCATTCCAGCCTGGATGACAGAATGAGACTCCAACTCAAAAAAAAAAAAAAAAAGATACTGAAACCTGGGTAGGAAGTGGGCAGTCTTGAACAATAAATTTTGTAGAGCTTACTTGTAGATAGATCTGTAGTTTTTGCCAAGGAAATTAGAGTGATGACTTTTAGAATTCATCAAATCCAGTCCCAGATATTGTGTGCATGGATAGATACTGCTGCCTTCCTGTGCGGTTTAAGACAAGTACCAATCGCCAGTTGGTCTTGGTCTCTTGGAAGTAAGTGTTGGAGTGTGCTGGGTTTTCACGTTGAGTTGTCATCCTGTAGAGAAGGCTATCCTCTTCCCCAGCTAAAAGGAAACCCTCTGTGTGTTTCCCCTTAGGGAGGAATGGGAGCTGCTCTGCTGTCAGACCCTGACAATATTGAGAAGGTGAGTCCTGCATGGGTGAAAGTGGGGGTCCCCCAAAATGCATATGAACTAGAGTTGCCTGGAATGCCTCCTTCCATCTGCTTCTAAAGATTTACTGAAGTCCATCTAGTTTCTCCCCCTGGGGCCTGGAAATTAAAAAAAAAAAATTTCCTAGTGATTTTGATGTGCAGCCTGATTTCGGAACCTCTGAACCAGCTTAACAGCTGTTCAGAGTTCCTTAAAAACCCAGAGCTAGGAGCATGACTGAGAGCCATGGGTCCTGAGGACTCAGAGAGTCTCCTCTGCATTGCCTCTCTCCCTTCTGAAATGATCCTGAGAGTAGAGGCCAGGCAACCTTTGGTGAAGACAGACTTAGCGTGTATGGGTAGACTGGTCTCTCTGTGGGGGCTTGATGAGAGCAGCAGTGGGTCTCCTGCATACTGACAGAGTCTGCCACCAGCCAGTTGAGAGCTGGTCAAGCTAGTGTTGGCTGAAGGCCGAAGTTAGTCTCCATCTGTTTCCTTTTCTTTGGTGATTCTGCAGGCCAGCCTAATGAGGCCTTAGGGGCAGGTTGGCATTCACCACTCAGTGTTATGGGCTGTCAGGGCGTGTCGGTGACATTTTCTGCCACACCATATATACCTTTTGCTTTTCTTTCTCAGTCTACCAGCGCTCCTCTTAGCTCCTTTGTTTTCCTTTTTATTCTCTATCCCCACTTCCCTGTCTGTGCTTTAAGCCTCATAGTGTTTCCCACAGGCTAGAGGAACTTGGGACTCGGGTACCAAATAAGAGCTGCCTGCAGGGTCAGCAGCTCAACCCTGCATGTTTCTCCAGGCCAGCTGTCCCTGGTCTATAGGAAGACCACTGTGTTTGTTGGCTAGGTGCCTTCTCATTTTTCCTATGTGCACCCACAGATAATGTACCTATATAATGTGCTTTTCATTTGTTCCCCAAACACCTTGAAATAGACAGGGTGGGCATTTTCCTCCATTTGATCAAGAACAATAAACGAAAGCACAGAGGCATACAAATTACTCATGATCATGTAGCAAATAGGTGGAGGCAGAGCCAGCTGTTTTTTTTTTCCACTTAACTTTCTCTGTAAGACCCTCTGAAAAAAAATTTTTTTTTTTTTTTGAGTTGGAATCTCACTCTTTTGCCCAGGCTGGAAGGCAGTGTCATGTTCACAGCTCACCGCAGTCTCTACCTTCTGGGTTCAGGTGATCCTTCCACATCAGTCTCCTGAATAACTGGGACTACAGGTGCATTCCACCATGCCTAGCTAATTTTTTGCTTTTGTAGAGATGAGGTCTCATTATGTTGCCTAGGTTGGTCTCGAACTCCTGCGCTCAAGCAGTCTTCTCTCCTGGGCCTCACAAAGTGTTGGAATTACAGGCGTAAGCCACCATACCCAGCCAGAGCCAACTTTAGATCGATATCTTATGACTCCTAACCCATCATCAGTAACGTCTCAAATGGCATGACATAAAGGTGCCAGGTAAAGTTTTACATGGTTTTATGTTGAATATGTTTTACCCCAATTTTTGAAAAAAGGATGCCATTTGATGAGAATTCTGCATACCTTTGGGGTGGGTAGAGGTGGAGTTAGGGTATCAATCTCTTGAAAAAGCTTCTACCAGGAAACTCTGGTATGTTCTCCCTGGATTAAAAACCTCAATTTTAGACTCTAACTCAGTAATATTCTCTCTCTCATCTCCACCTAAGATTTTCTACACACCCGCTGGCCGTCCAAGTTACCCCCCTTGTGCACGCTGCACTTGGGCCATGGGTAGCAATGGACAGGGTCAGAACTTGAACTCAGGTCTTGCCAATTTCCAAGCCCATGCGTTCCCATTCTCCCATCTGCCTCCTCTGCAACAACCAGAGGAGCAAAGAATTCTGCTTTTCTTGAGTTGACCTATGGATCTGGTGAGGCAAGTCTGCCTATGGATAGATGTGCTGTTACTCTGCTGCTCAGCTGTGGCCTTGTCTCTGGTACTTTCCTCACAAAGACTTGCATGCCACAGAGACATCTGGTGCAATCTGGATCTGGAGAATTGGTGTCCAGGAGAGTTTTGTGCTAGAGCCTGGCCAGGAGACAGATTCTAGTTGCCCCTTCCCCTCAGTGTGACCCTTGCAGTGGCTAGGGGTTTTCATTACCTAATTTTCTTCCTAGCTCTTAAGACACACATGAAATAAACAAATATTGAAGAAAGTACTTAGAGTTACTTGAGTTAACTACACCAAGACAAAGAACTGTGTCAGATGAGCTGGTGTTGCTGAAGTCTCCAAATATCAGAAGATTCTTTTTTGTTTTTTGAGTTGGAGTCTCACTCCATCTCCCAGGCTGGAGTACAGTGGCCTGCTCACGATCACCCCAGCGTCGACCTGCTGGGCTCAGGCAATTCTTCTGCCTCAGCCTTCCATGTAGCCGGAACTATAGGTATGCACTACCATGCCTGGCTAGTTTTTTGATTTCTTGTAGAGATGAGATCTTACCAAGTTGCCCAGGCTGTTCTCGAACCCATGGGCTCAGGCATCCCCCTCACCTCGGCCCCCAAAGTGCTGGCATTACAGGTTTGAGCCACTGTGCCTGGCACAGAAGATTCTTAATGAGCCCTTTAAGGGAACCTTCCAGAGATGTTGCTGTGAGCCTGAAGGAATAGGACTAGAGTGATAATTTTTATTGTTTTCCAATACACCTGGAAGTTTCCCCCCTTAAAGGGTAAGTGCCTTTTTAAGGCCTGTCAGGATACCTCTAGGTAGGCCCTCAGGCCAGTCTGCCTCCTGGGGCAGCACCTGGCCCTTCCTGCTAGTCCCTGGCAGTTGTGCCTGGGCCAGTAGGTCCTGTCTTCCTCATGAACTGTCCACCTGTCTGTCCATCAGCTTCTTCATCTGATGTCTTCTAGTGTGGCCTACCTCAGTCTGTCTCTAAAAGTCCTTCTCTACTGGTTCTTCCAATCCGGCTCTCTGCTGTCCCCGTCTGTCTAGAATCAAGACCAGCAGCAGCTGCCTGGTATCCCCTCTGCTCTGCTGGACAGAGATCCAATTCTTGGACGAAGGTGCTTGGGATCTCCTTCCCTCCAGCTTGCCTGGCCAGAAACTTTTTTATGAGGGAAGAAGTTATCAATGTCACAGACATGCAATGTCATCTACACCTCTCTTGATCTCTGATTCTCACGTGATCTTGTCTTGCTACTGCTCTGACCCATTTCTGTATGACTTCTTGATCTTTCTTTGAAATCTTTTGTAATTATTATGCAATAAGCACTTTTTAATCTGTTGAATATATTGTCTTTTCCTTTGCCAGTTTCACTTTTGTATATCTGACTACCCTAAACAGGGGCACAGGCTCTTAAGGGCCTTCCTGCTCTCTCATTCTGCAGGTCCTGGGACAGTGTTCAGGGAACATCCCCTTCAGAAAAGAAGCTATCAGCCATGTGTTCTTTTTTTTTTTTGAGTTAGAGTCTCACTCCGTCGCCCAGACTGGAGTGCCGTGGCACATTCCCAGCCACCGCAGCCTCGACCTCCTGGCCTCCGGCAATCCTTCCGCCTCAGCCTTCCAAGTAGCCGGAACTACAGGTGCGCGCTACCATGCCCGGCCAATTTTTTATTTATTGTAGAGACGAGGTCTCACCGAGTTGCACGGGCAGGCTCGGGCAATCCACTCACCTCAGCATCCCAAAGCGCTGGGATTACAGGCTGAGCCACTGAGCCGGGCCAGCCATGTGTTCTTAATGAAGGCTAGCCCAGAATCATATTGTAAATGGAGCGTGTTGAGCAGAGCCTTTTGAAAACACACATTCCTAAGCCCTGCCCCTAGATACCCATTAAGGAAATAATGGAGTGGAATCCAAGAATCTATATTTCTTGAGCTCTCCTCATAATTCTGATATTTGCCATGGCAAAGGCTCACTGTGTTCCACACAGGCATGTATGCAGATCCATACACTCACTCATTTCATTCAGTATGTTTAACAAATGTATATATACCACTGTGTGCCAGGCAGGGGATCACTGGTGCTGGAGCTCCAGAGTAGAACAAAGGCAGACCCCTTGCCTCTGGGAGCTTACATGTATATGTGCACAACAGACACCTACCAGCACTCATACATATGCAAACTGTCCATGCCACTGGAGTTACAGGTCTGTAGTTGGATTAATTAGTACAAGCAGTGTGGTGGTATATTCCAGAAAAGGTAGGTGCTCTTGTGTTCTCATCTCTGCAGATCCTCAACACACTTGTTAAAGGGACATGCAGACCTGTGACCTGCAAGATTCGCATCCTGCCATCGGTAAGGATGGTGTGTTACATTTGAGATCCATTCTCTCTGGTGATGTTGTAATTGGGACTGTGAATGATTCTTAAGGCACTGAATTAGGCTTGGTGGAGGGGGTGGAGTGTAGTCTACTTTAGGAGCCAGCTGCTTCTCCTTCTGGGGCTTCAGTAACCACCCTGTGCGGTCCTCTTCCTCAGCTAGAAGATACCCTGAACCTTGTGAAGCGGATAGAAAGGACTGGCATTGCTGCCATTGCAGTTCATGGGAGGTGAGTGGTCACCTTTCTAGTGACTGAAAGGAAGACCCTCAGCCATCTTAACAATCCTTCACCAGACCCCAGGTGACACCCAACCTCTCTTCTACGTATTCAGCCAACCTCTGCGTAGCTCTTTGACATCCTGAGTCCTGAAGACAGCTAAACCCTGAATGGGCTTGCATTTTTCTTTGTTTCATTCATTAGCACCTACTGGTGGTAGGCACTAAGCTTTGGAGACACAGAAAAACCAAGAGGGAAGGAGAAATGCCCTTAGGATGTATAAATGGTAGTTTGAGTAATCTGCTCAAATTGTACCATGCAGCCAGTAAGTGGTGGAGTTAGAACTCTGACCCCGAATCTCATTTTCTTCTACATTTATCAATGGCTTCTCCCTTGAATGGCCTCAGGCAGATTGTTTTTAAAGGCACTGTCTTTGTTGGACTGCCAGCTGTCACAATGACTATTTTAAGTAGTCCTTACATCTGTTAGACAGCTAATGTGCTGTCTGCTGAGAGCTGAGGTGTTTCTCAAGGCTACTCTTGATTTATCAGTCACACTTAATCCCTGTGTCCAGGGTGTCCATTTGTACAGAATCCCAGGTCAGTAGACCTTTGACCGGAGTGACCTCTCTTCTCTGAGTGATTTTCCTTTGGGGTTTGGGAGTCTTGTAGGAACAATTCAAGTTGCTGATTTAGAAAAGAGAATGCAGAGCTCTACCTTATAAAACAGAAAAGCAGAGCTTCTCAGGTTGAAGCCAGGAGGGGAAGGTGAGAGGCCACACATATGTACACATATGTTTCTTCCTGAGGCAGCACGTTTTGGATTCAGACTGTCTAGTTTCAGATTCCAGCTCTTCCGCTTGTGAACTGTGTATTCTTGGGGAGCTCACTTAACTTAAGATAATTTCTGCTTTATCGGGTTATTGTGAATCTTTCATGAGATTGTGAATATAAATCCTTGGCATAGTGCCTGGCATATAGTATTCTCTTAATAAAGAAAGATAGCTGGGCTTGGTGGCCCAGCCTGTAATCCTGGCACTTCGGGAGGCCAAGGTGAGTGAATTGCCTGAGCCCCTGGGTTTGAGACCAGCCTGGGCAACTTGGCGAGACCATGTCTCTACAATTAATCAAAAAATTAGATGGGCATGGTAGTGCATGCCTGTAGTTCTGGCTATTTGGAAGGCTGAGGTGGAAGGTTTGCTGGAGCCCAGCGGGTTGATGCAGGGGTGGCCGTGAGTGTGCCACTGTACTCCAGCCTGGGCGACAGAGTGAGACTCCAACTCAAAAATAAAATAAAACAAAATAAAAAAATAAAGAAAGCTATTACTTTTTCCAGTAGTTGGGAATACTAGGAAGACAGATTTGGACGAGTTTGAGGTAGGACTTTCTGGCCATCAAAGCTGTTGAAGATGGGCTAAAACTGGCCACTGGGGATGTAGGGAGGCAGAAGGCAGAGGGAGAGTCAAAGAGCTGGGTTGACATGGCCTTCTGAGACCCTGTAGTAGTCCTTGACCATTTTGTTGAGGAGTGTAGCAGAGTATTCATACTCAGACAAGAGCTGGACAAGGGCTGAGCTGGACTCCCAGCTTTGTTTCTAAGCATAGCTCAGGTCTGGCCTCCTGCTTTGTCTCTGAACACAGCTCAGATCTGGCCTCACCTCAGCATCCCTAAACCTGACTCATGCACAAGAGCTTCTTATAGTTGACCTTGGAAGGAGTGGCCCCAGGTCCTGCCTCCCCTGTGTCTTGTCGTGACAGCCATGGCCTGTGGCCTGCCCTAGCTGCTCTGGGGCACGGGGCCTACCCTGTGTCAGGTGCCTTTCCCCAGTATCAGCTATGCAGCTTGGCCTCGGCATAGGCAGCTGTGTGGGAGTGGCCAGTCTGAGCAGCAGCAGCTGTTCCCAGTCCCTTAGAGAGGGCAGGACTGGGACAGTAGGGGCAGCATTCTTTTGGGACTGTACCTCATCTCTGGCAGAGGCAAGGAGAAGCCAGGGAAATGCAGCATGACCTTGGGAGCCAGGCCACCCACATTGGCCCCCTGAAGCCATGCTTCACCTGCAGGCCTCCAAGAGCTGTACTTGCCTCCTGCCCCTCATAACAGTTCTTCCTGAGAGGTCAGGGAAGGCCATCGCCTGCAACCTGTCCTTGTGGACCACATGGCCACCTGACCCTCCTGAGGTTCAATAGGGAGGACAATAGGGTTTGGCTGAGGTAACACTGTGTAAGTGGTGACATGGCCTTTGATGCTTAGCCCTCAGCCCTGTCTCTTTATCTCTAAGGAAGCGGGAAGAGCGACCTCAGCATCCTGTCAGCTGTGAAGTCATCAAAGCCATTGCTGATACCCTCTCCATTCCTGTCATAGCCAAGTAAACCTTCCTTCTTCATCATTTACTTTTTTTTTTAAGTGAGAAAGCAGGATTTATTGAGGTGACAGAAAAGCTGTGGGAGGGGACCCAAGGGGGTTGCCCCATCATTTACCTCATTTAGAAGGAACTTGAACTGGCATACAAAAAACAGAATGAGATAGCATTAAAAAATGACCATAAGGAGAAAGTAAAGAGGATAGAATGAGAAACAAGTTGGGAATGAGACTGAAAGTGTAAGTCAGGCCTTATTGTGTAAGTCAGGTCAGTTAACCTCTGTTGAGAGACTGATGCAGATGTACAGTGGGCAGGGCCCTAGAGCACTGTGGTGGTTGGGGTAGAGGTGTGGAGTGTCCAGGGACAGGGAGAGAGTGAGAAGGTGGCCACTGAAGCAGGCCCAGGAGAAGGTGATACCACACCCAGAGTTAGGTGGGCAGAGTGGAGGGAGCTATGTGAGGAGTCTCAAGTCAGAACTCACAGCACTGTGGCTCAGGGAGCATAAGGCAGGTCACAGAAGCCCGAACAAACATTCTGGAAAGCCATAGGACCAGGACTCTAGGCTGCCAGATGTCAGGTCCTTTTGATGCAGCCCAAAGACAGTGTCCAGGCACCACTGGGAAGCTAGACTGTGTAGGCCAGCTGGGAGTCCAGCTCAGCCCAGTGCCTTAGCACAGAGCCCGAGGGAGCCTGGAAGATTGGGAACAGGGAAGCCCTGATGAAAGGCAGGCCTGACTGATGGGAGGGAGGAGCTAAAGGCAGAAGTGGCCGCCAGGTTCGGCCTTCCCTGAAGCAGAGTTTTAAGGGTAGTTTGGAGAGGTCAAGGCTACTCAAGACCCTGGACCCTATTGCTTCTACTACCGCCTAAGGGCCTTCTCCCTTCTCACAGTTATCTCTGGACTGAGGCTGCCACCTGACCCAGGATAAAACATAGGAGGACAGAGCAGTTTCCTAGGAGTTCCTTGGAGCAGCAGGGTGGAGGGAGGGGAAATTATGATGTTACTGGGCCTCCTTCCTTCCTCTCACAGTCACCAGAGTGTTTGTTTCCCCTCCAGGGTTAGCTCTTAATGGGCATATAGGCAGCCTGTTAAGCTTCGGGGTTTTCCTGTGGCCCCATTATCTCAGTAATAGACCCATGTCTTCAGATGTGGGTTGGTTGTAGCCACTGTTCCAGAAGGGGAAGGAAAATAAATTTTCTTTCCAGGTACTGTTTAGGTTACTTTACATATATTATCTTACTTAGTGCCCCTAACTTCATAATAGGAATTGTACATTATAACATAATCTCCACTTCACTGAAGCTCTGATAGTTGAAGGGGCTTAGCTAAAGCTACACTGTTAGCTAGTGACAGATCTGGGAGTTGGCCTTTTTCTGAAAATGCTGGTAGGTTCCATGATGAAGACATCCCTAATCTTCCTGTTGCTTTTCAGCGGAGGATCTCATGACCACATCCAACAGTATTTGGACATAGAAAACTTTCGACAAGCCACAGCAGCCTCTTCAGTGATGGTGGCCCGTGCAGCCATGTGGAATCCATCTATCTTCCTCAAGGAAGGTCTACGGCCTCTAGAGGAGGTCATGCAGAAGTACATCAGATATGTACGTATATCCCTGTCCTTTTTCAAAACAAACATTTCTTACTTACTGCCACATTCCTGTGGAAAGCACTCTGTTTGAGCCATCAGCTGCCAGCAACCCTTGTTGTTTCTCTCCTTTTCTTTTTTAGCTCTTGTAGTGTAGCATTGGGTCTCCTTAGTTGCAGTGCTAAGAGAGGATGCTGGGACGCATGCCTCTGCCATCTCCTTCTGAAGCTTCTAGAGGTGTGGAGGTCATAGCAGGGAACTTCTGGATCCAGGATGCTGTTGGAGCCCCAAACACATTTTGTCTTTCCCTTTCTCTTTCTCATACCCAGACATACACACATGTATGCACATAGACAGTGGGTTCTGTATCACTGGAGACACAGGTACATATAGATTGGTGCAGGAGTAGCCACAGCCAGAAAGAGCCATTGAGAGACTTCTCACCTGACTTGACTTATCAGTCAGAATCATCCTAAAACGTTTCTACTGCTAATTTTCAGAATACTTTAACCTATGACTTAGGAGTTAGCTTAACTTTTACCCTCTCCTTAGGGAATAGCTTTCTCTAAACCAGTTTCTTCTCATGGGGAGCTTGATGGTAGTGCCAGGGGCATTTCCCTATAAATGGAAATGACAAGTTCACTTACTCTGTCTCTTTGGCACGATCCTAAAATTCTGTGGAACTCTGTGATCAGCCGCATGTCTACAGGGAGAGACAGTACGCGATCCTCAAATTCTTTAGTAAGTTGGGCTTGAGCAGAGGATGCAGCCTTTGCTCAGAACAGACTTCCAACCTCCTCTTCAGTCATAGAGTTCATACTTGCCTGGAACCGCCTATGCTCTCTCTAAGCCATGGCCATGCCTAGGCAGTTGCAGCTGCCATGGCATATGGATCTTTCCTTGGCTATACAACTGGAATGGTAAGAGACCCTGAGGCTTATGTCCAGAGCTGGGCAGCCTCTGTCCTAGAGCCTCTCCTGCTCAGTGCTGCAGCCTTATCCCTTGGTTCTGGTGTTCTGTTGGGCAGGTTGGTGACCATCAGTTCTCCAGTGGCCTGGATCACCTTGAGGCAAGGGAGACTTGCCTGAACCCAGGTCAGTTGTCCAGCTTTTTTGGCAAACTGGCAAGTATGTGGCTGGGAAGACGTGTTCAGTAGTGCTGAGCTTGCATACACTAGGTGAAAGGTGATGTTATCATTCCTGCTCAGCCTGTCCCTTGGCAGCTCCTCAGGAGGGGGTGTTGTCACAGAGAAAGGGAGCAGCTTTCAAGCATAGGCAGGGTTGCTTCTGATCCAGCCAGGTGCCTTCTGTCCCAAACAAGCTAAATCAAGGCCTTGCTGTTGGCTGGATTTCACCCATTTACTCTTTGTCCAGAATGTACCATGGTACCTTTCCAGGCACTGAAGTCACAGGCCCAAGTAGACTAGGACAGTGTAGGGGGCGAGGGGTGGGAGGGGGTTCTGGAGGACTAGGGTAGGGAACCTTCACCCATGGCTACTTTCCTGTCCTGCTTCCAGCTAGGCCGGCTTCCACTGGGTACCCCTGGGCAGTCATCCTGCCCCTTGAGTCTCCACTTGCCAGTCTGTGGAGTGGTGGCAACAGTTGCATCTCATACTTGCATACATAAATGAAATGACAAGTGACACATGAATGAATGTGCTTAGTAAATGGTGCTGTGCTTTACTCATGTAGGGGGAAGTTAGAGAGAGGCTATTCAAGATGTGGAAAGGGAAGGTGCTTACTCTGATTAAAAGGAATAGAGGACTCTCATCCTCTTCCTGGCACTGGACTTCTATGCCAGAATTTGATGTGTTTCCTCTCCCTGACCTGGAAGATGCTCAATAGTAGGTCCTCTGTGGCAATCTGTGGCAGCTGAAGCAGGAGGGGACTCCTTGCACTTCTAGACCTCAGTCAGGCTGCCCAGGAGATTGAGCTTCTGACTGTGGACTTCGGCCATGACCCTGAAGCTTTGTACCTCTAGCTGGAGGAATAGATGGCCAGGGTGGAGTTGGTTCCTCTTATGGGGTCACGTTGTCTTGGCTCTATGCACACCTCTGATGCCCCCTTAGAGTCCCTTTCTCTGCTAACAGAGCATAACTTAGACTTTAGAGCCTGCTTCAGCAGCAGGGGGGCTTATGCCAATTCTTCTCTTAGGCAGTACAGTATGACAACCACTACACCAACACCAAGTATTGCTTGTGCCAGATGCTACGAGAACAGTTGGAGTCGCCACAGGGAAGGTTGCTCCATGCTGCCCAGTCTTCCCGGGAAATTTGGTAAGAGGGACAATGGACTGTTCTTCTGTCCTTGTAGACCTTACCCAGACTGACCTCAAGCCTTAAACTGATGCCACTAGGGGCTAGGGACATAGCTTCTGGATGTGGATGTAGAGAAGTGGAGTATTGGTTCAGCTTTGTCTCCCAGAAAGGGATACTTTGAAAGTTTTGGAATATAGGCCTGACATGGTGGCTTATGCCTGTAATCTCAGCGCTTTGGGAGATGGAGGTGAGAGGATTGCCTGAGTCCAGGGGTTCAAGACTAGCCTGGGCAACTTGGTGAGACTTTGTCTCTACAATAAATCAAAAAAAAATTAGCTGGGCATGGTGGCATGTACCTGTAGTTCCAGCTACTTAGGAGGCTGAGATGGAAGGATCACCTGAGCCCAGTGGACCAAGGCTGCGGTGGCCGTGAGTGTGCTACTGTATTCTAGCCTGGGCGACAGAGTGAGACTTCTATTAAAAAAAATTTTTTTTTGAAATGTTACATCTTAGACTGATCAGCAGAGTTTTGGGAATTAGGGCACTAGTAGGATGGAAGAATGAATGCAAAGGATGATCTTGGAATTTCCTGGGAGAGAAAGGGGTTTTTCCATTAATGGACTTGTCACATGCCAGGCCATTGAGATCCAATGGTCAGGAGATTCAGGGCTGTAGCATGGAGTCCCTGGTCTGAGCTTGCACCCATACCCCATCACCTTGCAGTTTGACAGGCTAACCTCTTTGGCCTCTAGATTTGGTGCAGCTCTGGCTCAGGTGATTGACACTTGTGGCCCTTCACAGCCTGGCCAAGTCCCTGTTTCCATAGCTCCCTGTCTACTAGTCTGCTTCCAGATCTCCACGCCTATGCTTGTATTAGTCCTCCGCCTGGAAGTCTCTCTTCCTCTCATATTGGCTATCTATATCCTCTCTTCTCCAAAGAAGCCTTTCTGAACCATTTTTGCTGCCAGGGATCCATCCACCCCTCAAGATGCTTCCTAGAAAGGAAAAATTGGCTGGGTATGATAGGTCACTTCTGTAATCCTAGCGCTTTGGGAGGCTGAGGCAGGAGGATCATATGAGGCTAGAAGTTTGAGACTGGTCTGGTCAACATAGTGAGACCTCATTTCTACAAAAAATTTAAAAATTAGAAGAAAAAAATTTTGAATCGGAGTCTCACTCTGTCACCCAGGCTGGAGTGTAGTGGCATGCTCCCAGCTACCTCAGCCTCCTCCTGCTGGGCACAGGTGATCCTTCCATCTCACCCTTCCAAGTAGCTGGAACTATAGGCACATGCCACCACACCTGGCTAATTTTTTGATTTATTGTAGAGATGAGTTCTCACCCAAGTTGCCCAGGCTGGTCTCAAACCAGTGGGCTCAGGCAGTCCTTTTCACCTTGGCCTACCAAAGTGCTGGATTTATAGGCATGAGCCACTGTGTCTGGCATAATTTTTTTTTAAATAAAAGGGAAAAGCCTTTCCAGAACCCTCCTCTCACCTCTGGTTTGTGGCACTGATTGTGTCCCTATCCCACATAGCTTAGCCTGCTTGATGACCTAGGTGTCTTGTAAGTTCTAGAGGAAAAGTATAACTCTGTAACTGGTACCTCAATGTAGGCCAGACCCATGGCAACTGCCTGTGGCTGGGCAGGAGGTGGGAAACCACCCAGTGGTCAGACCTGTCTCTTCCTCCCATGGGCCCACATGAGGATAAGACTGTACATACTCAATGTGCTCCATCAGTATAGGTCAGCTCAACTGTGGCTGACTGGGGACACCACTTGTGTGTTCCTCCTCGGAAGAGAGGCTGCAGATGGTAGAGGTGACTTTTAGAACCTTTTCCTCCCTGCCCAGCCTTCTCCCAGTGTCCATGCTCAGAGGGTCACATTCACTTTTTTTTTTTGAGTTGGAGTCTCACTCTGTTGCCCAGACTGGAGTGCAGTGGCCGCTCCCGGCCACCGCAGCCTCGACCTGCTGGGCTCAGCGATCCTTCCTCCTCAGCCTTCCGAGTAACCGGAATTACAGGCATGTGCTACCACGCCCGGCTGAATTTTTGATTTATGGTAGAGATGAGGTCTCGCTGCCCAGGCGGGTCTCGAACCCGCGGGCTCAGGCAATCCACTCACCTCAGCCTCCCAAAGGCGCGGGATTACAGGCTGAGCCACCAAACCCGGCTCACATTCACTTTTTACCTTCGAGTCCAGGTTGATCCCAGGGGTGCACAGGAGATACCTGATGGCCAGGCCCTGGTGGTGTTTTTGGTGTATGTGGTGGGGAATTTCTCAGTGGCTGGGCCCTGGGCTCCTGCAGTACCCTGATGTTGCCTTCTCTAAATTGCTTGTTTTGCTTCTCCCTCTTTAGTGAGGCATTTGGCCTCAGTACCTTCTATGAGGAGACCGCGCAGGAACAGGATGCCCGGCGGGCCAGGCTCTTGACTAGGACTTCAGAGGAGGCAGAGGAACCAGCTGAAGACATTTCTGGTGTCATCAAGATGTCTGTCAAGTTTGACCGGTAGGTCTCCGGCTTGGCCTCAGGTTGGCCAGGACCAGTGCCTTTAGGGTCTGACTGGGCCAGCAAACGGGCTGCTATATGTGATTGTTTGTTTTTTTGAGTTGGAGTCTTACTCTGTCACCCAGGCTGGATTGCAGTGGCATGCTCATGGCCACCGCAGCCTCAACCCTGTGGGACTCAGGTGATTCTTCCACCTTAGCCTTCCAAGTAGCTGGAACTACAGGCGTGCGCCACCACGCCCAACTGATTTTTGGATTTATTGTAGAGATGAGGTATCACCAAGTTGTCCAGGCTGGTCTCAAACCCTTGGGCTCAGGCAGTCCTTTCGTCTCTGCCTCCCAAAGTGCTGGGATTACAGGCATGAGCCACCATGCTTGTATGTGATTAATGTCAAGCTTAGGGATCACAGATATCCTTGGTTTGGATACTTTTTCTCAATTTTTAGCATCCCAAAGAAAGTACTTTCAGGGAAGATAGTTTCCAAAAGGCCAGGCAGCACTCAGGGAGTGTGCAGAGTGACTGAACTCTACTTTTTCCCTGACCCATCCCCTCCCACAACTCAGGGTGGGGACCTTGTCGCCTTCTGTTCTTGAAATTTTTTATTCCCTGGCCCTTAGGAGCTAGCTGCCTGCATGAAACTCCTCAACAGCCGCAGGGCCCTCATTTGGTTCTGTAAGCCCTGCCCACACACATTGTTCTCACCAGTCTTGTGGTACCCTCTCTGGGCAGGTGTAGCCTCGGCTGATTACTGTCTCAATGGTTCTGTAAGTCCTGCCCACACACATTGTTCTCACCAGTCTTGTGGTACCCTCTCTGGGCAGGTGTAGCCTCGGCTGATTACTGTCTCAGATTGTGACTCGCCTTAGAATGATGCCCTGATCCTTGTTCTCTGCCACCTGCGATCTGAGCCTTTCTCTAGTCCCTAGGCCCATACTGAGAGTCTTGTCTGGCCAGGGCTTGGAGTTGGGGGTGGGAGGAAGGACAGCTCCTGGATAGCCATATGCCACAGAGAGCTCCCATCCTATCACCTTTTCACAGCCTGACTCAGAAACCAGATTTCATTTTGTCCACATTAGCAGCAGATGATCCTGATACTTGCCAGATATAATCAGGGTGGGCACTGACCATTGTCTGGCTTCCTTTGTTCCCCACCTCCACCCATTCCCTGCTTTTCCAGGCTGGCTCTCAGAGTGCTGGGTGTTCATCCCCCACCTCAATTTTCCAAGCATGCCAAAGCCCATCTTCCCTTTAGGTAGAACCCAAGTCCCAAGCCGTTGGCAGAACAGGAATGGGAGCCTAGGGAAGTAGGTACAGGAACCTTAAAGCAGAGCCTGGTGTCTCAGTTCCTCCAGTTTCTGCAGTTCCTGATAGGAACTGAGCAGGACCTTGCTGAGGGAGAGAGTGGTGATGGTGGGTGAGCCCTGACTGCTTCTTTTTCCCCTTTTCCCAGGAGAGCATACCCTCCCCAGATCACTCCCAAGATGTGCCTGCTAGAGTGGTGCCGGAGGGAGAAATTGGCACAGCCTGTGTATGAAACGGTGAGTTCCTGGCTATGGCCTGCTCTGCAGCAAGCCATAGCGCTTCCAGGGCTTATATTCTCAACTCTAGATGGCTTAGATGGAGCCTGGCCTTGCCCTCTATAAGGCAGGTCAGTTGCTTATAGCCCTTTCCTTCTGGCAGTGGCCTGTTATCCAATCCTGACAGAAATGACTTTGGATCAGGCCTCAGTGAATGGTGCTCCTGGGGTAAAAGCCTTGAGATGGTCTTGCTTCACTTCCTTTGGTCCCTGTGGCAATGCCTTGCTCAGGCTACTCTGCTTCTTCTGGACTGGCCCTTTGGCTACAGGCTTGTACCTTCTGGGCCTTTGTCCATCCCGTTCTGCCAGAGTGACCTCTTTCCCTTGCTCAAATCTGACCTCTTTCCCTTGCTCAAGTTAACAGCCCCGATGCCTCTAGGATCAAGCCCCAGCACCTCAGCACAGAGCAGGAGACCTCTACCTGCCTTGCGTCCACTTAGCCCTTTGCTCCAGCCACATCATCTGGTCCCTCTGCCAGGTGTGCCTTCTCTCCTCCCATCCTTGTTCCCTCTCACCTCTTTGTTATCTGGTGAATTCCTCCTCATTTTGGGTACCTGGCCTATCCAGATGTCATTAGGCGGAGGCTCTATAGTCATGTGTAGCTAAGGGCTCTGATGGCCTTTTGCTTAGATCTATGACAGAGCTACAGGCACACTTGATGTCATTGTCTGTTTGTGTATCTGCCTCTCTTCTGTAAGATGCACCAGGCATTTTTGCTTAGAAGGAGCATGTGGTATAGGTTCCCATGAATGACTTAGGTTAGAAATACTTGCCTTTATCTGCCTTTGATTTGACCCCAGCAGGTGAGCCTCCAGGGCTTATTATTTGGCTCCTGTGTAGCTATCCCTGTTCCTTTGCTCTCTCTGCACCAGATTCAACGACCTCTAGATCGCCTGTTCTGCTCTGTTGTCACTGTTGCTGAGCAAAAGTACCAGTCTACCTTGTGGTGAGTTTCTTCATAAGAGGGCGTGAGGCTTGTGGTGAGGGACCTGAATCTAGTAGTGGCCTAGGAGGGTTGGGCAGATGGTGTGCGTGGGCAGTAGTATACCTGAACAATGACTCCTTACTCAATTTTGTTAGAATCTCTGCCAAGAGTATGTAGAGTTAGGCCTCCCAGTGACTAGTCCTATAACCTGCCCACCTGTCTTCTTGCCCTATCTCTCATTTTCCCAGGGACAAGTCTAAGAAACTGGCAGAGCAGGCTGCAGCCATCGTCTGTCTGCGGAGCCTGGGTCTCCCTGAGGGTCGGCTGGGTGAGGAGAGCACTTCCTTGCACAAAAGAAAGAGGGAGGCCCCTGACCAAGACTCTGGGGGTCCCAGAGCTCTGGAGTCAGCACAACCTGGGGAGCTGTGCAAGAAACCTTTTGTGACCTTGAGAAGTGGTGAAGAGAGCCCCCTGGAAGGCTGGTGACTACTGTTCCTGTGCTGGTTACCCTTTCCAAGGGCCTGGCCCTAAGGTGGCTGTAGGTGCCAGAGCATGAACCAGATGCTATTGGACAATTTGCTGGCCCTGCCTGGCAGGAGTTAGAAGTCCTTGCCTGGGTCATCAGCCTGGAGCACGGGCCAGGGGATGCTCAGAGGTGATGCCTAGTGTTGGATCCTGTCTCCTTTGGCAGGTCTGGGTGGCGGGTCAAGTTCTTTTTGAAAACAGGAGCTTTTCAGGTGGCACTTTCCCAACCCGACATTGGTACAGTGCAATAAAGATACCCCCCACCCTCACCCATGGCTGGCTGTTTCAGCCTTGGGCATCTTTATACACGGACTTGTGTCCTGGCATAATTATTCTACTCCCGTCTGTGTGCAAAGCTGGAACTTCCTGAAGTATATCTCCTGCCCATCCTTATGGGTCTGGTGGAGGTGGGGATGAGGTATCACTGGACTTGGGCTGAGCCAGAAAGGCCCGAGAAGCCAATTCTACTGATAGTAAACCTGAAGCACTGGGCATCAATGGACTTTCCTGATGAGAGATGATATGGAATCTGGAGGAAGGAGTTAGGATATTTGGTGGCCCAATAAGGGACCAGCCCAGTGGGGTGGGAAATGTTGGCCTGATCCTCAGAGTCTCCTGTAAGCCTGGCAACTGGCTGGAACTCAGACCTGATGAGGTGTCTGCTCTGGGCAGGTGGGGCGAGGCTGCTAATAACAGAAAGTTGAGGCCTTTACAATCGCCAGATCATACCACACAGTCCCCCCTGCCCCCTCCTCCCTTGCCTTCCCCATCCCACTTGGGCCGGAAGGAAGTGGCAGATTCTCTTTAATTTCCTCCTGGCAGTGAGAAGCAAACAAACGGCTACCACATCTCTTGGGGCCTCCCCCGCTTATTGGGAGGGGCGTTCTGACCAAAGGTCTGTGCCCTGTCCTGCCCCCGCTTCCTCAGCTGTAAACATGCTGCTTCTCCTCCCTTTTTCCAGGCTCTATGACAGTGGGGGGGATTCCCCTCTGGGCCAAGGCCATGTTTCCTACACCTCTCGAGTCAGCCTCTGCTTCTGTGGCAACCTGGCACAGGGTCAGGCACCTGTGCTAGCCAGGAGCCCCTAGCCCTGCCGGCCTCTGAGTCAAAGGTTTGGTGGGTGGCCTCTGTCTCAGTCACAGCACTGCCCCTCCCTGCCACCCACACTTGTTCTTCTGTGTGCAGATAAGGATACTGCACTACCAGTTGCCTCCTACAGCCCATCTCTGTTTGACCTTGGACAACTTCTAGTCCTTTCTGGCCCGAGGACCCTCCTCTAAGGGGGATCAGCTGTGTGAGGCTGCTTGTATGAGGCTGGCGGAAGGACAACAGGCTGGCTCTGTGATAGGGTACTGTATAGCTAATGGGGTTACTCCATTCCAAGCTGCCCTAACTTCCCAGATCAGTGCTCCCAAAGAAGGTACCCCATCCAAGAGAAAGACTGAGGCTTGGCCCAGCCTCAGCCATTAAATTTTAGGTACAGCTTATTTCTGACTTTTCTTGTTAAAAACTGTCTCAATCAATATGTCCCCTTTAACTTTTCTTATACTCCAATTGGAACCGGTCAGACAGCGAGGCCCCAGTGCATCCCCCCAGGCACTGAGTCCTAAGATCCATCTTCTTGGTGGGACTGGGCTTTGCTCTCAGGCCATTTGTCTCAACAGTGTGGATTCCCTGGGGAAGCCCCTTCTCTGGTAAGGTCAGGTTCATTTCTGGGCTGTGGGGAGTGGAGGTAGGGGCAGAGGTCTGCTGTTAAAATAGAGGCCCTGGGGGCTCTGAGGTCCTCAGGAAGCACTTTGGAGAGGGTCTTTCACAGGGGAAGCAGGTGTGGTGGTAGGGATAAGTGTGTTCTGTGACTGAGAATGTCTGGCAAAGATCCTGGCTGAAGATGTTGGTCCTCAAATGATCTCACTTTAGCATACTTTGGTGGTGCCTGCTCTGGTCCCAGAGTAACCTGCCCAAAGCCTGGGACTACTAACTGTGTGGGTCCCTAAGTCTGAAAGCTCTGCCCACTGTTCTTACCATGTCCACTTTCAACTGGGTCATTCAGACCCCCAAACTCCTCCCTGGGCTAGTGGCCACAATACTTATCCATCCATTCCAGCCAGCATGATTGAGGACTTCTCCTTAGCTCATCACATTTTGGGGACAGTTTTGATATAAGCATGAGAGGAAGGGATAAGTAAGGCTAGAGAGGGTCTTCCAGAGGCCACAGCAAGAAGATTGGACTGTGTGCAGAGCATCTCTTACACCTGCAGTCCTGTACACTTGGGTCCTTCCAGGTGTCACTCAGAACTTTTCTATAGCTCTCTGAGACTGCCCTCTGGATCAAATCCAAACTCCTTAGCCTAGCATTTGAGGACAAAGTGCTGACTGTCTTCTCCACCCTGTGCTGACTTCAGCAACTAACTTTGAGATTGTAGTTGGCTGGTCTTATCCTTTCTGCCCAGATTGAGAGCTGCTGAAGGGTAGTCCTTGTGTCCCCTATTACCACCTGGGCATGGGGGTGGGGAGCAGACCCAGAAGAATCAAACAAGAGCTTGGGGTGGGGAGGATTTGTGGCATGGAGAAGAATAATTTTTCTAAACTCTAACTTTCCTCTAAGGCTCCTTTTTCCCTAATGTGGAACAAGGGCTTGGGCTGGGCTAAACTGTATCATCCCATGACTCAGAGGACACAGGAAAGCCTTCAACAGTGGGGACTTAGGACCAGGTCTGTGGCAGCTATGAAAAAGATGCTTTCCCTAATTATCAGACCTGGCTGGCATTCACACAAGAGGGAGAGCAGGTGTACAAAGACCTTGTCCACCCTGGACAATGGGTTCTGTCTACTGCACTGGTACCCAGGGCCTTCTGGTTGCATGGGGCTCTAAGAGGGTGGAAGCGGGCCCACGTGACTTCTTGCAGGAGCTTTGGATTTGGCCTGAAGAAGAGCCTACTGCCCACTGTGGTACTTTCTGGCTTCCAAATCTTTGGAAATATGCTCTCTCACTGGAACGAACCTTCCTCACCTCTTGCCCTTCTCTCTGTATTCCTACTCACCCATGTCGAGGCCCTGCAGCCAAGGGGGTTATAAACTTTCTCTGACCTCCTGGCATAACCATAATCTCGTTGCACACTCCCACCCCTAAAGGTTGACTAATTTATATCTGAATCCCCAGGTCCAGCCCAAATACATTACTGGGCAGGAGTGAACCAATCCAAGAACATCTCATATGCTCTGACCACCTGACCACCTGACTCGAAGCCTAGTTGGGCCCCCTCTAAGAGCTCCCTGCTCCAGACATTGAGGCCTCTACAAGAAACCTTCCTTTGATCTTTTCTCTCGGGGGTATTTGTGGACGATGTGGAACGTGCCATGGGCCCTGTAAGGGCAGCATTTATTGGGCGCACCTGTACCCTAGCCTCTTATAGCGCCCTGGTTCCTCCAGCAACGCACATCTAGGGATGTTATGCTTCGTGGGCCTTGTGCCCCGGGGCATGGAGTCAAAGGAAGCAGGTCACCACCGCCTCTCACAGCTCCTGGTCCACCCTGCGCCTCAACTGAGCCCTAAGTAAACAAGCCAGGCTCAGAGTCCCCGAGCATGACTTCCACTTAAGATCCCAAGAGGAGGCACTCGTCTTGGGCTATCTTTGGGGAAGACAGGTCTGCAGGGGTGTGGCCAAAAGCGAAAATTATTCTTTACGCAGTGTCACTTCCTTCTACAGCCAGCCACCCGGTTTGGGTGACTCAATCCCCACCCCCGCCTGGTTTCATGGATATGCATCAAGATGCAGAGGTCACAGCTGTGAGTGGCTTTCCCGCTATGTCTGCTCAACTTCCAGCAGAAGACAGGCCCTGTCCGTCGGGCTTCGCCGAGGTCTCCAATGCGCATGCTGTCCGCAAGGGAGCAGCTGCGAGGGCTGGCTAGTGCAGACAAAGACGAAGTCACCAAGGTGCAGGCCCCGCCCTGTAGGGTGGGTCTGCAGCAACCACCAACTGACTCCGAACTCTTCTGCTTCGGCTCCGCCCCAACCTAGCTGGAAGCTCGATCTGGTCCCCGCTCTCTCGAGACTCTGCCATTAAAGTTAGGGTGGGGGCGGGGGATGGGAATGTGAATGGCGTCCAGGTAACCCTGTGAGTCCCTGATGCCATACCTAAAGCCAGCCATTAGGAGTAACACGGTGAAGCCGCCCAGCACAGAACTCATAATTCCAGTGCTGCGGCGCCCCTTTCTCAAAGTGAGCTCCGCCCAGTGAGCGGAGGTGGTTCCCCACCTAACTGGAGTGGGCTGTCGGCCTTACACCCGACTGGCTTTGAAAATAGTCGCGGAGGGACTAGAGCCCAAACTACAACTCCCGAGAGGGAGCAGAACTCTTCAGGTCTCCATATTCACGTGACTTCCTTCTCCCGGAAAAGGGGTCACGCGATCGGTCGCTGAGGGGGCGGGGCCCTCAAGCCAGTCGCAGTACTGGTGGCCTATAGACAGCCGGGCTGGATGGGCGCGCGGTAGGGGGCGGGGCCGGGCGCGCGGCGCGGCGCGGCGCGAGAACGCGCCGGCGGCGGCGGCGGCGGCGGCGCTGATGCTGGTGGTGTCTGTTGAGGGGCGGGGGACGTTGGCCAAGGCGGCGGTGGCGGCTTAGGCACCGGCGGCTGGAGGCGTCAGTTCCGAGTGCTGCTTGGCACGCGGCCAGCGTTTTAGTTTGGGACGGAACGCTCGGTGTCCTGGGCCCCGCCCGGAAAGTTTGCCGTGAAGCCACGACCTCTTGGCCGGTGCGGCCCGGCATGAAGCGGCGCTGAGGAACCGCAGCCGCCGCTGCAGACGCCTGAGGAGCTGCGGCACCCTGGGCCACGCCGATGACTACTGCAAACTGTGGCGCCCACGACGACCTCGACTTCAAACTCGTCTTTGGCGAGGACGGGGCGCCGGCGCCGCCGCCCCCGGGCTCGCGGCCTGCAGGTGGGTGCTGGGCTGAGCAGGACCGAGGAGCGACCCCTCTCGTTCGCACGAGCTCGCCCCCTTTCCGGTCCCTTGGTTGTCCGGACACTGAACTCCGTGTGTGTGTGTGTGTGTGTGTGTGTGTGTGTGTACACACTGATAACCCCGTGTGTGTGTATATGTATACTGATAAACCCGTGTGTGTGTGTGTGTGTGTGTGTGTGTGTCGAGTTAAGAGCGGATTTAAATCGCCAAGGAGGTGTGTGGGTCGCTGCGTCTTGGAAGTGGCTGCGGGCTTGGCTGAAGGCAAACTAGTAGGGAACTCGACTCCGGACGCCTTTGGCCGGTGGACGCCAGGGGTTTTTTAGGCCGAGGGTCCGGGCCACTGACAAGTGGCGTCTGTTTGTCGCTGCTTTGCCAGTGTAGAGAAAATGTTAAGTGAAAGTGTAAGCGCACTTGGTTTTTCATCTATTCTAGATTGTTTTAAGAAATCTGTATTTGAAAGATGATTATTCGTCAATTATAGGATTCTTCTAAAATTCTTGCACACTTTAAAAAAATCTACTTTGCTTCTGTGAGGGTAATGCTTTCGAGTTAACTTCCCACTTATGCAAGTTTATAGTCCACAATTAATTCGAAGTGCTACTGTAACGGGACTTTTCTAGAAAATGGATTTCCTCGCTCTAATAAAGTGTTTCGTAAGATTTTAAAACAGTGGAATGCCTTTTCATAATTCTCCTCGAAAGTTCTGGCAGTCAATTTTTGTTTAAAGACAAAGATCTCGAAAGGTATTTTAAAAGAGGTTCTGAATTGGTAAGGCTGGGCACCATAATGCTTGCAAGTTAGACCAATCAGGAAAGAGAAACAGGATGACTGGGGACTTGGAGCTCTTTTGTGACCTGGTTTGAAATACTGTGGTTCATTAAGCTCAGCTTCCCTATTACATATGAAGGCGGACTTCAGAAAGGAAATGGATAAGAGTAATTCCTATTTATTCTTTCAGTGCATTAGATGAATTACTTGATGTTGCTCATATTGATATTCAATAGACTGTTCTATAGAGTTACATTGAAAAACATTGAGGCATAGGGATTCTCTGGAAGATATTTGTTTTATCAGTTGTTTAGACTTTACGTGTTAGATGTCTTTTTCAGTATTATAATTTATAATAGTCTTGTATTGGCTGCGTTTATTTTCAACCCATTAACATAATTTGAACAACTATTATGTTGAAGGTACTGTTAGGTACTTTGTAGTGTTATGATGATACAGGAAGTACAGGCTTCTCAAGGAATTTGGGAAATAGGGGGGTGTGGGGAGAGGGGGAGTGTGGGGGGGCAGGGAAATGTAATACACATTTTAAGCAATATTCTCTATGTGTTACTTTTAGTTTGCATCAATTAGAAGTGTCTGGATGCTGGTGGTAACCACTTTGAGCACCTCTTGTAATTGCAGAAGTCAAATGTGACTTGTATTCATCTTTAGTTATTGGTATATTTCTTTTCTTAAAATGTATATACATTATTTTGGCATCCTCCACAGTTGGAGGAGACACATAGTACAAATAACTATGGTACTGGTCAGTCTGTGAATGGTGATGCTCTTTATTATTATTTTTGATAAAATAAAAAGGAGTCTCGCTCCGTTACCCAGGCTGGAATGCAGTGGCACGATCACAGCTCATTGTAGCCTCGACCTTCTGGGCTCAGGCAGTCCTCCTGCCTCTGCCTCCCAAGTAGCTGGGACTACAGGCATTCACCACCACACCCAACTAATTTTTTTAATCTTTTAGAGACGAGCTCTCACTATGTTGCCTAGGCTGGGGCAGTTTATAACAGAAGAAGAAATGAGAAAAGTGCCATTTGTGGACAAGGTGGCATTGAATTGTACTTAGATTATTGGGACTTAATAAAAGCAACTTGTTTATTTCTATTGTAAAGAAGATAAACGGTTGATGATGTCAGCAAACTTCTATTGGGCACAAACTTTAAAGCACATTATATACCAAATATATGATCAATAATGGTGTTAACCAAATATATGAATGATAAAGGAGTATCATCATATATGTAGGAATTGTATGTACATACGAAATATTGAATAATAGTTAAAAACTGTGAAAAAGTTTTTTTAAAAATAATTTTTGCTGTACCACAAAAAATGACTTAAATATTAAAATAGGTCTAGAAGGTCTAGAAGGAGTCTGTAACTTGATTTATAACTGAAATTTCCAAAGGTAAACATGGGCAGTTTATTTGTGACCAAAAATCCGCTTTAAAATATTCAAGCAGGTGATTTTTAAAAAAAGTTTTATTATGATAAAATACATATTAATAAAACAAACATCTGTCTTTTTTTTTTTTTTTTTTTGAGTTTTAGTCTCACTGTGACATCCAGGCTGGAGTGCAGTAGCATGCTCACAGTCATCACAGCCTAGACCTGCTGGGCTCAGGTGATCCTTTCGCCTCAACCTTCCAAGTAGCTGGAACTACAGGTGTAATTTTTTTTTTTTTAATTGTAGAGACGTGGGCTTACCTAGTTGCCCAGGCTGGTCTCGAACCCCCAAGCTCAGGGAATCCTCTCGCCTCGGCCTCCCAAAGTGCTGGGATTACAGGTTTGAGCCACTGCACCCAGCCACAAACAGTCTTTTTTTTTTGGCATCTCACTCTGTCACCCAGACTGGAGTGCAGTGGCCGCTCCCGACCACCGCAGCCTCGACCTGCTGGGCTCCAGCGATCCTTCCGCCTCAGCCTTCCAAGTAGCTGGAACTACAGGCAAGCGCTACCATGCCTGGCTAATTTTTTTATTTATTGTAGAGATGAGGTCTCGCCAAGTTGCCCAGGTGGGTCTCGAACCCGTGGGCTCAGGCAATTCACTCACCTCGGCCTCCCAAGGCGCGGGATTACAGGCTGAGCCACCAAGCCTGGCCCACAGTCTTAAAGGGAATAATTTAGTGGCATTTAGTGCATTCACAGTATTGTGCAGCTACCACTCTTACCTAGTTCCAAAACATTATCATCCCAAAAGAAAACCTGATATTTGTTCAACAGTTGCTCCCGATTTCTCCTTTCCACTCCCAGTCCCTGGTAACTACCAGTCTGGGATCTGTCTCCATGGATTTACCTATTCTGGATATTTTATGTAAATAGAATCATACAATATGTGACCTTTGGTGTCTGACTTCTTTCACTTAGCATAATGTTTTCATGGTTCATCCACTTTCTAGCATATATCAGTACTTAATTCCTTTCTATGACTGAATACTATCCCATTGTGTATGTGTGTACAATGTGTGTATATGTTTATTAGTTGATGGACTTTGGGCTGTTTCTACTTTTGGCTATCATAAATAGTGTTGCTATGAATACTTGGTAGCTAATTTTAAAATTCTGTTGAGAAGGATGTGTTATATATTTAGAGCTAAGATTTTAGAATTGCTAACATAATTAGTTTTCATTTTAACAAGCATGATTATGAGTATATAGTTTGAAGGAACCAAGTGGATTAACTGGACTGCTTTTAGGATGATATATGCAGTGAAGTAAGCAATGAGAATAAGATTGCTTGGTAGAATTCAGATCATTATTGGATTATATCAGGGTGTATACTGAACTCTGTTTTTGATTCTCTTCCTAACAAATGGAAGTTCCTTGAGGGCAGGGATAGTGTCTGTATCTTTTTCATAGTTATATTATTAGTGTCTAGAACAGGCACTCAATATTTGTTAAATAAATGAATGAATGCCACTTAAGTTTTGAGTCAGTACTTATTTTTTTACATGGTCGAGGAAATTGATGAGAGTTGTTTTAGTATTTTGGCTTTTATTGGTGAGTTCCATAAGATGACAGATCTTGGTAATTTGGGGCTGCAGTGGTTTTTTTTTTTTTTTGAGTTGGAGTCTCACTCTGTCGCCCAGACTGGAGTGCAGTGGCTGCTCCCGGCCACCGCAGCCTCGATCTGCTGGGCTCCGGCGATCCTTCCGCCTCAGCCTTCCGAGTAGCCGGAATTACAGGCATGCGCTACCACGCCCGGCTGATTTTTTTGATTTATTGTAGAGATGAGGTCTCGCTGCCCAGGCGGGTCTCGAACCCGCGGGCTTAGGCAATCCACTCACTTCAGCCTCCCAGAGGCGCGGGATTACAGGCTGAGCCACCGAGCCCAGCTTCGCAGTGGTTTTACATCTCTGAAAGTTTGAGTATTTGTATCATGTCTAAATTTCCATACAAGGGGAAAATTTTTGGAAAATCGTGGGATCAATGAATGGAGAGTGAGGACAAACTGAGGGCCTGAATTTAGTGAGTGTCCTAAGCAAGCTTGTTAAAGTATAAATTTCATGATTAGAGGTGCATTTGATAACATCGGGTGCATATGTGACTGGCTTTTTAAGATAATTGCTTACTGAGGTGTTTTGAGATTTTTTTCCATTAAAGAAAATTTAAAACCCCAGAGTCTTTAGCTTTTAAAAAAAAATCAGTGTCATCTCTAATTTTTCCAGTTAAAAATGAACCAAACTATTTTGTTAAATGTCCTTTTACTTAGTAAATAGCCCCAAATAGATGATACACCTGATTAATAAATAGGGAATTTATAATAGGTACGTGTTTGAGGCTGGGTGCGATGGTTCATGCTTGTACTCCCAGCACTTTGGGAGGCTGAGATAAGAGGATTGTTTGACTCTCTCTTTTTCATTTACTTTCTAAATAAACTGTCTTTTCTGATCTAAAAAAAAAAAAAAAAAAGAGGATTGCTTGAAAGGAGTTCAAGACCAGCCTGGGCAACGCAATAAGACCTTGTATCTACAAAAAAATTAAAAAGTTAGCCGGACATTGTGGTGTGTGCCTGTAACCCCCGCTCTTGGGTGACTGAGGTGGGAGGATCACCTGAACCCAGAAGGTCAAGGCTTCAATGAGCCATGATCACTTTAGCCTGGGTGACAGAATGACACCCCAATTTAAAAAAAGGTACATGTTAAATATATTCCTTTAACAGTCTTTGCCATTATAAAGGGCAGCTTCTGGTAC